ATATAGATATATAGATATATATAGATATATAGATATATAGTCATGGTGATACCAAGATGGATTTCTGATGGGTATAGAGTTGGGTCACTGACAGTACACAATTGACTGAAGCAATCTGAAGTTGAAGATGTACTTTTCTAGCTACTGTAAACTTACAGAGAAAAATAGATTAGCCTGATTTTTAAGATGGTTTGAATATGCTAAAGAGAGCCACTGTGCATTAGCCCTAAGGATTTAAAAAAAATTTTTTAATAGAAATCCAATTCAAATTAATTGAAAAGACCATCAGTATCAAACTCAAATTGTCCCAGTAAGCCTATTTCAGGCAGTGATAGCTTACCTGCTTCTCATGTCTTGTGAAACTATGCTCAGTACCTGCTAGTAGGCATAGATAGGATAATCCTTGGGTGGAGAGTACTCAGAGCTGATGAAGAGACTCTGCCTTGTAACTGAGTGACATTATCTGGACATGTGAACACCTCCCCACTTCTCACTGCCCTCCAGGCTTAACCTTGCCCCCCTCTCCTTCAGAAGGGTAGCCTTTGTGAGCTTGTGGTCTCGTAGCCTCTGTATATTCTTGTCCTGTGAGGACCTTCCCTCACATGCAAACTGATCAATAAAATACAATACAATAAAATACAAATAAATTTGTATTTGTAAATTAACAAACAAACAACCCTCAACTTCTTATCTTGCCTAGAAAAAACACTAGGACTATATACAAAAAATAAAAAAATATAAAGAAAATTTACCTTTTTAGGGAAAGCAAGCCCCAGGAGTGAGAAAGCAGAGATAGCAGGAAAATTTAATGGGATCAGAAAATCTAAAATTGTTATAATTAAATTTTTGACATTATGATGACTGCATGTATAGAGTTTTGATGAAAATGAAACCCAGGGGCTGGGGAGATAGCTCAGTAGAATAAGCGCTTGCCTGGCAAGTACAAGGTCCTGAGTTCATACCCGGTACCCTCCCCCAACACACACACACACAAAAAGAAAATGAAACCCTGAAATATACTATGTCTGCTTGATGAGACATACCAAAATATAGATGACAAATAATAAAATGTTAATACTTTTGAAAGTAATTAGAAACATTTTTCATGCACCTGCCTGGCAAGTGCAAAGTCCTGAGTTGGATCCCCAACACTGCCTCCCCTAAAATTCATGATTAATGAAAGTAAAATTCAATTGAATGACAGAAACTTAGAATTTAAATATCAAACACAACCCAAAAACAAATGATCTAATGTGATGGATATTAAATAGCATTTAAAATAGGAGAGTTTAATTTAAATTACAAAATGTCTTCTTGATGTGAGAAGATTCAGGTCAAAGGGCCTTAAAACTTGCTTTCAAGAAGATTCTGCTCTGTTGTGTCTTTGATAATGGAGCACAATATGCTGGAAAACCAGGAATGGACATTTCCTTTGCTCTTCTGACCTTATTGTGCTAGAAGATCTAAAAGTAAGAACCTGTTTGATATAGGCACAAGGATCTATAAGGAACTGGTGGAAGAACTAGAATATATTTGAATTTTATAACCTGTTAAATTGCCATTGCTCTATGATTATTTTAAAAATATATATGATCACTCTAGCAGGCTAAAGCTGGAGGACCACAAGTTTCCTGCCTGGGAAAACTCGCAACTTCGTGAGACCTTGTTCCAAAATTAAAAATAAAATGTGTATGTAGGAGGGGGTTGGGATTCAGCTCAGTGTGAAGGCCCTATACTTAATCCCCAGTACCATAAAAAATATGTAAACTGTTAAAATATATGTGAAAACATTCATAATGTTACTTCTCACTAAAAACTAAGCAACAAAATGAGTATTATAAAGACCTATGGGACATGTTTGTCTTATGTTTTGGTTTCTGTATTTTACATTTTCAGAGAATGGATAAGAAAGACCCTTAAGCTTATTACATAGGAAGGTGTCATTCCTTCACATTAAGGTACATGAGGAGAAAAGTTCACAAATTATAAATTCTTAGAAAACACAAAAGATCCTTTGGGTCCAGCAAGGAAAATGTCAACAAGTCAAAAGATACTAGATGATTATTGACTAGTTTTGTGAAGGCAAAGCTGCAAGCCAAGATGGAATAATGTTTTCCCACCATGTGTCTAAGTGAACAAATGACATTAATCCCTTTTAATTGTCATAAAAGCTGACAACTTCCTTTGCCTAAGAACTGAAGACACAAAGTCATTTCTGGGAATGACTCACCATAAACAGATCTCGAGCATCAATGTCAACAGCTAAGAGAAATGCCTTTTCAAATCTCTGGTACCTATAAGGGAGAAAAGAAATGTATGTTATACAAGAAGAGAGAGGTATTTGTTTATTATATTTATTTACTATTGTTTTCATTCTTCTGATGGGAAAAATATTTTTAAAAAGGGATTTTGCCTGCTAGAATCTTCCATAAGTGAAATGCTACTGAATATATGAAGAGCAATAGTATAAAGCCTGTGGAGGTTATAATTCCCAAGCATACGCATACCTTCAAGTAGGTACTGCTTATATATATATATTTTTTTTTATCTTTTTTAATGTATTTGGTACAAGGTCTCACTATACAGCTTGGATTCATAGTGATCCTCCTGTTTTCAGCCTCCCCAGTGCTGGGATTACAGGTGTGCACCAGCATGTCCAGTCTTGGTGGCCTGCTCAGTGTGCCTGGGGAAGGGACTGGCACGGCATGTGGTGCTGGGGATTGAACCCCGGTCCCTGCATTTGCCTAAACAGGTGCTTGGTCCACTGAACTATCTCACCAACCCTAAAATGCTTTTCATAATTTTTACTTTATTTGTGTTTTATAAGAGAAAATTATGAGGATATAGAGAACATAGAATAAGAGCATGGAGTAATTACATCACTATATTTTGGGGTTCTAAGGTATAAGATGAAATATCAAATATTATAAAAATTACCTTGTATTTGTGAATTTTAAAAATTCCAGGTTATAAATGATTTTAATATTTTGAAAATATATTACCTTTCTAATGTTTCCCATAATCATATTCTTTTTCCTGAAATATAACTTTGCAAATACATAATTTAGTTAAAGCTTAACTTTAGGCTGAGATGTATTAATGTGCAGTATAAAGGAATTACCTCTGCATAAAACTTAAGATCTTGAGAGAAAAGCATGTCATAAACATATACTTAGCACAGGCTTTTGGGATGAAAACTTGTCTTTATTTTGTTTGAGTGCTAAAATTTATTTAGATATAAATGTCGGTTTCTCTGATCCAGGAACAAGCAATTATTCTCTGTCCCTTAATTTTTTACTGTAAAACTTGGTGGTAGTAAAACTAATGAATCTCAAGTAAAAAGTAGCAAGCTTTGAATATTGTTAATAGATTACTATATTCTATTAGTGAAATAAAATAAATATCAAATACACAAGGCTTACTTATATATGAGCTGTGAGATATAGGACTTGAAACACTTGGGGAATTTGCAAAAGCTTGATAACTAGTACCCCTGTTTCCTCCTTGCTCTTGTTATTAATTAATTAATTGTGAGGATTGGAACAGTCATAAAGCTTACTAGGCAAATGCCCTATTACTAAGTTACATCCTCACCCCTCCTATCTACTTGTATTAGTACAGTATTTTCCTGGATATTCGTAGCTATGGAAGTTCTGGAAGTAATTATGCTTATTTTTGTGAAGAAAGTTTCTTGTGACTGGAAGTTTATTAGTTTACTATACATTCAGTGAAGATGTAATGTATTGAGGAAGAAGTCAGTGAAACATTAAGTTATACTGATAGATCATCCATTTATTGCCAATATTGTTGGCCTATTCCTCTCCATTCTTTCAATAGTTAAGTATCCATCTTTAATTATTAAAATTTAAAGATTTCATTTTATGTACTCTTTGGTCACATCTAGTCCTATAAATCTTTTGCTTATATGTAATCATTCCTTGAAGCCCTCCCATTCCTTAGTTTTTCTTTATTTTTTGTTTCCCTGTTTCCTAGGAGATCTGTATCTACATCTGCATCTATCTATATTTTTATAGGGTTCTGCTTGTTCATCAGGCTGGACTTGAACTCATCATGTAGCCCAACTTGGCCTCAAACTAATGGCAACCTTCCTGCTCCAGTCTCCTGAGTGCTGAGATAATAGGCATTTACGAGTAATGCCTGTCTAGACTGTATCTTCTTATTTTTCTTTTAAAGAGAATACAAAAATAATATACAAGACATTAGAAACAATTCACAATTTTTTTAAAAAGGTGATAGTGTTTAGCAATGGTTGTTATACTGCATATTGTTATCTTCAACGTAGCTGCTCAGAAAAATCACGTATAAGCATGTAAAATTGCTTAAAATAAAAATTTTAAGCATTAACTGCTGCCTTCAAAGAAATGATAGAAATTAGTAGTATAATCATCTTAGCTGTCCTGTGTGTATACATACATGATCTTTTCCCCAATCCTTTTCTCCTTTTCCCCAATTGTTTATTCCTTTTACCATATCTATTACACCATTCAGATTTTATTTACTCTTTCAGGTTCTTACACTAAAGAGACAACATGATGTTTACACATGTGGGTCTGATTTATTTCACTTTTTATGTCCTGTATAATTTAATTTTTTTATTTCACTTTTGAGCATAGCCTCTAGTTGCATACATTTACTAAGAAAGCCACAAGTTTATCTTCTTTATAGCTGAGTAACAACACTCCATTAAAAATGAACATTTGAGATAAATACACACTTCTCAGAGGAAGAAATGCAAATGGCAAATAAATAATGAAAAAATGTTCAACAGCCCTGGTCATTTGAGAACTGTAAATTAAAACAACACTGAGATTCCATCTCACCCTAGAAAGAATGGGTATCATAAAGAAATCAACTAATAAATGATGGAGAGGCTGTGGGGAAAAGGAACTCTTCTCCACTGTTGGTGGGAGTGTAGACTGGTACAACTCTGTGGAATCAATGTGGAGATTTCTCAAAAAGCTAGGTTTAGAAGTCCCATTCCAGACAGCTATTCCCCTTCTGGGTATTTTTCCTGAGGAACTGAAACCATACCACAGTGATACATGTGCACCAATGTTTACAAAATACGTCATTGCTAAATCTTGGAGACAACCGAAATGCCCATCAACTGAGGAATGCATAAAAAGAATATGATATTTTTAGACTGCATCTTCTTTCTTTTTTATTTATTTATTTTTTGCAGTACTAGGGATCAAACTCAGACCTTGTGCTTGCCAGGCAGGCACTTATACTGGTAAGCTCTCTCTCTCCACCTAGACTGCATCTTCTTAATCTCCCTTTCTAGTTCATTTTTCTTTACATCCTCTTGAACTCGGTTTTTCTGTGGTCCTTTATATATTTCTATTCACTTCAATCTCTTCAATAACTTTAAATTATCATGGCACTCATAACCAGTTATATCAGCCAATCACAAACCTATACTTCTAGGATCCAATTTTCGCTTGTGCTCCAAACTATTTCCCAGCACCTCAAACTTAACCTCACATGCTCAGTTTACCATCATTCAGCAGCTATTCACAAGACAAGTTAACTTGGGAAGAGCAAAATTTAGTGAGATAATAAAGGATGTGATCACCATCCTAGAAGAAATGTAAGTGTTACAATAAAATGAAAAACTGGATGTGATATTTGGCAGTAAGGTGAATCTGAAATACCAAAAGGAATGCTCAACTAGATTATTTAGAAAATATACATTAAAGTATACCATAAGAATCTCTTAAAAGAAAGGAAATATGCAAGAGCACCTCAGTCAAAAAATAGAAATAAAAAAATCCAAATAAACTTGCTTGATAGAAACCAGAGTAAGGATGCCTTTAAGACAGCAAATAATGAACTAAGAGAAATTAGTAGTATAAATGAAATGAATATGCATATATATGAAAATAATTTTAATATAGGGGAATTGATAATTATTTAAACTTTTCCCAACATATATAATATATTAATATATATTAATTTATTAAGTAATATTAATTATTAATTAATTTCCAACATATATATAATAATTTCTTTTTAAATCCTCTTCCCTCCCCTTCCCCTATCCCTACTTTTATGAACAAATAAATCAAATCTTCTAAAATAAGTGGAGAACAATAGTTGTTACACTGTGTAATTATCTTTAAAGTAGATATTCTGAGGAGCATAAGATATAAACCAAAATGATTCTTATAAACAAGAAACAGATAACACACATCTTTCATTCCAACAAACCAAGATAAATTAAAAATGTGTACTATTATCTGTTTCTTGTTTGCAAGATAATCTCTTAATGATATCTAGTGTATTAACTATTGTTTTGGTTTGAAATTTTTATTTTTTATAAAATAATATGAAAAGAAAAAGAAAAAGACAAGAAATGAGGGGACATCACCCTCAGAAAACTATGACTTGAACAAGTCTCAAAGTAAAGGTGCTAAATTAAAACCAAGACTTCTGATTAAGCTGTGGGTTTAACTTTAGCAAAAACAAACAAAAATTAATGTCTGGATTAAGTGCCTTTTAACAGAGGATCCAATGGATTTGAAATTAAAATCAAACAGGTACAAATTCAAAGATCATAAACATAAACTAAACCACTATAACTCAAAATTAGAAAAAAATTTCGACCTCATGATTTCAGATATCTGAATTATTACAGATAACATAATTTATATGACACATTTAAAGAAATGAAGGATAGAATCATGAAAATAAGCATCTAATATAATGCAATAAAATTTAACAAATCATTTTTAAAAGAATAAATTTTTTAGAAATTAAAATATTTAATTTTTAAAAATATTTAATTATTAACGTTAAATAACTTCACATAATTCAATTACTTATCCAAAAGTACATTAAATGATGCATAAAATGTATACAAAATGTTTCCGAGATAGAGAAAGGTTAAAAGTATAAAGAATGATTAAGTAATAACATAAAAATGCCCCATGTGTCTACAAGGAAATAAGTTAATGGCCAATATTCAGATCTGATAAATAATATTCATTAACAGATCTGTGAGGAACAAAATGCTTAGCAGGCTAAATAAAAATTTCATATCTTCCCCAAAATAAGACCAGTCTTACACTAATTTTTTTCTCCAAAAGAAATAATAGGGCTTAGTTTCAAGGGGCATCTCATTTTTCATGTACAACAACCTACACAGTGGTCCCTCACTTATCATGGAGGTTATATTCCAGACACTCCTGTGATAAGTAAAAATGACTGAAGTAGCGGTGTTATATTTATTTTAGTATTTATATGTATTTTAAGGGTTTATAAACCCTTCCTA